ATTGGAACAGGCTGCCCAGAGAGGTGGTGGAGTCACCATCCCTGGAGGGGTTCAAAAAACAGGTAGACATGGCACTCTGGGACTTGGTTTAGTGGGCATGGTAGTGTTGGGTTGATGGTTGGACTGATGATCTTAGAGGTCCTTTCCAACCTTAATGATTCCTAGTTTTTACTTTCACTAAAAATAATCCAGCCACCAAGCCAGGAAACATGAAATTACGACTCTACCCTTAACTGGTTTAGTGGTGGACTTGGTAGTGTTAGGCTAATGGTTGGACTGGATGATCTTAAAGGTCTTTTCCAACCTAAATGATTCTATGATTCAATGATTCTAAATGAGGCTTCTCAAGCTTTTGACATTCAAAGTTGCCTCTGCGTATGACTCTTTGTTTTCTCCATCTCTCCCTCCCTATCCAGATGTACACAGACACCTATTATTCCTTCTTCCATATGACATAAGCAAGGGAATTATGGTTAATACACTTAAGGACGGACAGATAACGAGGTGTACGGAGCCAGTGCTGAAAGAGGCTGGCTGTCTGAGCATCTCTGTGCTTTGTACCATAGGCAAGTAATATACGTCGAATTTCTTCCTAATCAAAATCTGGTATCTAGAATAGGAACTGAATGTGTTTCAAAAGTCTTTTTAGAGCAGTATTTGCAGCTGGGAACATTTTGCCAGCTGCCTGACCTTGTGCGTTTGCTAATTCAGCTCAGACTTGGATTAACAGTGACTGCATATATAAAAAAAAAAATCTTTCACTGTTACGTTAAAAATATTTGTGCCTTCAAGATGTAAAGTAATTCTTGTAACCAGTATGCCTTGTCACCTCAGTTACCACCCTCGTAAAGACATACTCCTTTGACATATTCAGAAGAGGTAAAAGATTTCCTGCAATTCAGACCATGCCTTCATGTGGGAAGCTCTCAGAAGTCACTAGGACAAGAAAGTTAAATATTCATGTACAGAAATTCTTGTCAGCAGCAATCCACTTCTACATTGCTCAACATGTGTTTGCTATAGCAATGCAAATGCTTGAAAATTAGTCTTGAATCTACTTTAAAGCATGTACTTTATGCTTTAAAAGGTCTGGCTACCTTTGAAGTGGATGCTTTCAGCTCTAAAGAGAGCTACTATACAAAAAACTTTTATTTTCTACTTTTAGGCCTGGATGAGAAAAAAAAAAAGTTATTCAGCACTGAAGATAAAACAGTTGATGTAGTTTCTTAACCTTTCTTTGCACAAGGAACTCACCTGTGTGAACTTTCGTTTTGTGCTTCTTAAGATTTTTTATATCCGTGTAAGAATTTCCACACATTTCACAGATAAATGGTCTTTCACCTGAAAAAAATTGGTTTGGCAGTTAGAACAATTGAAAGAAAACACAGTTAGAGATGTAGGATAATGGATTTCAATGTTGTATTTTAAAATACAACTTTGTAATAACTCTGTTATTGTCTGTGTGTCTGCATTCAGAATAAACTGTTTCCAGAATAACGCATTAAAACAAAGCATAAAACCCCCCAAACGTTAGAAGTAAAGCCACAATCCTACATCAACATCTACACTGTTACACAGATACTGGTCTGAAAAAGGCAATTAAAAAAAAATTCACAATATTTTCTTTAAATTATGTTAACACAGAGATATGTAAATTAAGAAACTCTGCTACTTTCAAGTACAGCAAAATATGGTGTATTCTAGTGTATTTTAAAGGCAAAAGGGCAAAGGTAGAATATTATTTATAGTGCAGGAAGCAGCCTGTCTGGAAACTGACCTGTATGGGACCGAAAATGTTTATTGAGCTCTCCAGAGGAAATAAAACTCTTTTCACAAATGCCACAGATATATGGCTTCTCTCCTAAAGGAAACACAAGGAGTTTGTTATTTCAATATATAAACCAGCATACACATAAAGAACAAATCAAAATGAAACGGAGGTGATGTCCAATGGAAGAAAGAGCTCCCTAAACTGGAGTCAAAGAGGAAAAAAACATGAGAAAGGCGCTGGACGACAACTCCAGAGGTAACTCCCGGTCTACAGATTTCCTGGTCATTACCTGCCTCCAACCCTGCCGCAGGCAGCCAGCCCTCCCTGCTCTGGTACAGCAGGGCTCCCTCCCCCCTTACCTGTATGTTTTCGGGAATGGGTGATGAGAGAACTTGAGACAGCAAAGGCTTTTCCACAACTGTCACACACGTAAGGCTTCTCGCCCGTGTGGCGACGCACGTGGTAGGTGAGCGTGCTGGCCTGAGCAAACCGCTGCCCGCACCGATCGCACACGTAGGGCTTCTCGCCGCTGTGCTTCCTGCGAACGAACACAGACATCGCTGACCTCCTGCCAGAAAGGCAAGCAACACCCACGATTAAGTCACCTTCCTCAATTAGTACTTTATCCCCAAAGTTTCTCGTGCTAACATTTTGTGAACTAAAAAAAAAGTTAACAACCTGTGAGTTTGGCTTTGAGTTAGCAGTTTCTCACAGAGTGAAATTCGCCGTCTGGTGACTCTGGGAATCAGCACATCCGTGATTTCAGTGGCAGCTGAATTCAACTACAGGCCCTGCACATTAACACACCCCAGGAGAACTCAGCACGTTTTGTGTTATAAATGATATATACTGATATAAATGATAAATACTGAATGATAAAATGATTATTCCTAACAAGGGAATGTAATTCCTGCTCCTGCCAAAAGTGCAAAAAGACAGTGAACAGTGAGAACTGCTCTGTTTCATTTCCCATTAAGGAACTGTCTCCTCTTTGGTGCTACAGCAGTTCTGTTAAAACAAAACCAAAGAAAACTAAACCCCCATTGTTGCCAGAAGGATACCAGTGCGTATGCTGTAACATTCATAAATTGCAAACCCCTTCCCTAATGAGCAAGTACGTAGATGTAATTGTTCTGTTATGCAGCGTGAGAGAAGGCCCAAGAGAAAAGGAGTAGAAACGACGAAATTATGTGAACGTGTAACTCTTGCTCACACTGAAGTAAATTATTCTGTTTAAATAAACACGTGGATAAGCATTTGCAGGATCTCACTTTTGCCTACCTGGCATGAATCTTCAGATTGCTTGAAGTTGCAAACTGCAGATTGCAGACATCACATTTGTATGGTTTCTCTTCCCCGTGATGCATCCGACTGTGGAACACTAACTGGCACTTCTGAGCGAAGCCTTTGTCGCATAGTTCACATTTGTATGGCTTCTCCCCTAGTGAAAAACAAAACCCTTGTGCTCTCTGCATTTACCTAAGAAAGCTTTCCAAGCCGTTACCTGCCCAAAACACAAGTGTCTGTTCTAATACTTCTTAGAAATAACATCTCGGAATGTCCCGTCATCAGTCCACTGAAGCGGAATGTGCCAGGAATACAGCGGATAACAGACTATTTTTGAACACATTACCTTTAGTGGAAAGAAGGTAATAATTAATATTTTTAACTATGCCATTTTCCCCATACTATTTTAAGAATGCTACGTTTTCAGACTTTTTGCTGGTTACGTCTATTCATGATTTTGCACGTTCAAGACGAACCACCAGTACATCACCTGCCTTTTCTTGCCTGTCAAACAGCAACAAGTCTTCAACGTGCAGTCTAGCGCTCACTTCTCGTTAGCATCTGCCGTAGAATGCTATAGGTACTTCTCTGACTATTCCTGTTTCCTTAGTGGTCAATACAGTCTCACGTAATGGACCGTGCAACTCCGCAGTCTTAGATGATGATGTAAAAGAGCCTGCCTCTGCAATTCCATGGCAGCACACAATCAAACCAGGAACTCAACAATTCTTAAGTATATTGTGTACATAAAAACTTAAAAAATAAAGTATTAGACACCTACCTGTCATCTAGCAACCAACACCGTGAAATTCCCTACCTACTCATGCAAAAATTCTCAGTACAACACCCTTAAAGTAGAAACTGCAGCTGATGTTCCTACCAGCAAACTGTCCCTGAATACTGCTCACAGGCTCATCTCACGCATGAATCTTTGGTTACTCATTGCCCGACAATATTTGAAATCCTCTCCCTCGATTACTGAAAGAGCAAGGCGTTCTCCTGCAGCTGTACCTCAACACCTCACCTCTTTCACATCTTCACAGCTTCCTGGAAAGAGCTCCACTGCTGGCCTCTGCTCAGAGTTTTCCAAAGGTGAAGAAGAGCAAAAGTAAACAATTCTTTTAAATCTGATTCACTGTTACTTCAGAATTCTGAATGCCAGCCACAAAAGGAAGAAAACTACGCAAACCAGGTCCCTCTGCTGCTCACTGGGCTAAGTACAGCAGCAAAGGCAAGAGCAGAGGAACAGCTACGCCAGATCAGCCTGCAGAACGAACTCACCCAGCATCAAGTCTTCCATCTCTAGGGAAGAACATACAAAAAGACAAGCAAGTACAGTACTTCTCCCGTACATCTTCCCAGGCTCCAGCAATTTGCTCTTCATAATCTTTTAAAGTCAGACATGCTGTCTTAACGTTTAAGTGTTTGGAATTGATTTCTCTTTGATGCTTTGTTCAGTAGCTCTGAATACAGCACAAATTTCTGGAAATCTTATTGAATGCAGAGATCCTAACACCATCACACATTTCAGCTGCACATTTTACTAATCAAATGCCAAATGCTGTAGTAATTCAGCCACCTCCCCTACCTTTTTTGAAGACCCTATGGGAGAAGTTACCTACTTGTCACAAGATCACTTTTTTCCCCCAGTTTTGTTATCAAACATGTATTAGGATTTGATGTTTTTAAAGATACTAGAATTTCCATTCCTTTTAAGTACAGCGAGCTTTTCATGCTCTACTGGCAATAGTTTTTGGCACTCCATCTCATTTAATCACTCTACAGAGTTAAAGCGTAGCCAGCTCTTCTGAGTCTTTTCAGAAATCAAGGTGCTCAGACTAACAAAGTCCTCTCTAGCTATTTAAAGCAGAAACTATGGTTTCGTACTGAAAAACATTGAAACATTTCATGCTACCAGGATATAGGTATTATATCCCCATACATGTGCCAGCAGCAGACAAAATTTCTGGAGGAAGAAGGTGGAATGCAAAGATCTTTTCAGTCCTGTATTCACAGGCTGCGATTACAGGTCTCCACAGCCCGTGGAGACAAGGCCAGCAGCTTACCTGTGTGAGTTCTTACATGTGTTTTCAGCTGATTGCACTGGGTGAATGCCTTCCCACAAAGCTGACACACGTAGGGTTTCACTCCTTTGTGTATTCTCATGTGTCGACGCAGGCTGCTGGCTTCTGAAAAGACTTTTCCGCACGTGTTGCACACTGGCTTAGCTTTGGAGTACTTCTGGTCAAGTTCTTCCCCTGAACTCTCCAGCTGGTAAGCGTTCTTTTCACTGGCTATGTTTGACATACAGTGCTCTTTCAGCGCACAGCTTTGCTGAGGCTTTCCCCGTTTCTGTTTTGCTGCAATAGTCTGAACTAGGATATCCTGCGCTGCCAGTGTTTCGCTTTCCACCACAGACGTGAGCTGCAGTTCAGAGTTATCACTGCCCTGGGCAGCCTGTTCCGTTATCTGGGTGGCCAGCTTATTTGCATCTAAAAACATTTCAATGGATGTGTTCTCGGTTGCATCATTCTGATACTGTACGGATTTATTCTGTATGCTTTTGGGAGAGCTGAAATTCTTCTTTCGCTTTTTGGTTTGAGGAGATACCTTTTCTAAAGCTGCTTTCTTTGCCTGTGGTTGAACCAACTCTGCAGAAGCAGAGTCTGCTTTCTCCCGATTATTGTAATCTCGGAGAGTCAGAAGGCAAGTCTGCTGATTCATTTCAACGTTTCCAGTGATGCTAGATGTCTCCGTAGAAGAGGGATTAGCAATAAAAGCAAAGTCTTCCATCTTGATTTTGCATTTAGTGACAACTTCTTCTACTTTGAGATAGTCGGCAGCCTGGTGAATTTCTTTAACATTCCAGCTGCAAGAAAACAAGACTTGGGTGACAATATTCTGGACAAAGCAAACATTTGTTCTGTAACCAACTGTATCAAATACAGATAATCACAGCTACAGAAAAGTTACACTGTCAGAAAGCGTAACTTTGAGAACACATACAGCAAGATCTAATCTCTTAGTGCTGTAGTGCCCTAAGACACCAGTACGAGGACGACTCCTGAACTGAAGGCCCATGCCTAGTGGGGTCTGCAGATCCACAGAACTGAGAATTTTATTTTCAGTTACATGCCTTTTGTACAATTTTAAGTTAGAAGTCTAATTGTAAGGTGGTGAGGCTAGACATGGGGTTGTTGGTCCAAAAAGCTCAGAAATCGCAGCACGAAGGGATGAAACACTGGAGAATAAAATGCATAAATTACTGTTCTATAATCCTTCTGCCAAAGGCCTTAAGTCATTCGCAAGCGGCGCATTCACCTCAGCACTTCTGTGAGGCAGGTATTAATCTTGTTTTATAAAACGATTTGCAAACAGTCTTAATTCCGTATCAGCTGCGCACAGACAACATTAACACCACAGAAGTCCTCATTTAAACTACTATGTTAACATTACCACACTTAAACTGCTATGCTCTGTTTTTCAGTTCCTGCAACACAGGCCTTGACTGTTTAGTAAAAATTGATCTGTAAAAGGCAGCAACGTACCATCGATGCATTTATGGATTTACCGCACTTTAGGGAGTTTAACGGTAAACAACATCATTCTAACAATCTATTACACAGTAAATGTAAGTAAACAATAAGCGACTAGCCACGATTACTCTCTGTACATGAATACAACTGTTTTAGTATCCCGCATCACACCAGCACTGAGTTCAAAGTCCACCCTCCCGGTGTCGCTCACGCACCCACCATCACAGGAGACAAGAGAATTTGCAGTCGGTTGCAGCAGTCACCTAGAGGGACACCATGCAAGACGACAGGTGCACGTGGGCAGACCTGCAGGTGTCCTCTTTAGTCAAATCGTTCTCCCTGGGTGAGAATGGTACTCTCACCTTCCTCTTCCTTCAGAGATCTCAACTGCTCAGAATGAACCCAGAAACTCTGCTGCTGTGGTCCCAGACAGACACCAAGAACGCTGCATGCTTCCGCTCATACATAATTTGCAAAGCACCGGTCACTGACTTCACCATGCAGCTGTGTATACTGCTCTATTGCTATTAATGCTAATTTAAAAAAAATCTCCACCCCGCATCTGCGTACTTAAATTATCGAGTATGAGTTTTCAGACATCAATAGCAACAAAGCTTTTTTAAAATGCCTTTGACACCAGATACTGAGAAAGGAGTTAAAATCCTGCCCTACATACTTCTTAGTCACACTTCCCTCATGAGGGGATAATCTCTTTCTTTCCCTGAGAGGAAAGCACTGCAACGAATCCTCACTATAATGAAGGAACACAACGGGCACAAAGTCAATGCAGTAAGGGGGGAAACACTTTTTCTGTGACCCCTTTTGAACACTGTAATATAAGACTTTTTAAGTAACAGATCATGCAAGTTCTAACAAACGTACTTCTTTTTAAATCGTGCCTCTCCTCATGCATTCCTCAGACTGTAGTCTCTACTGTATGTACAGTTCCTGTGTGTTCTCTGCAAAAATGCACTTCTACATAATTCAAGTTCAGAAAGAATACACTTGTCCTTCCCACTCCCAGTAATCACATCAGATTGTTACTCCCTTCCAATCCAGGCAGAAAGACTCAGAGAGTAAAACTATCAATCAGTGCAATACCAGACAACATACCTTTGTTTTGGCACTCACATGCCACGTGGTATTTTAAAACATACAAACACACCATCTTCATCTTGTCAATATGTATCATATCCACTACTAATTGTTTCTCCAGAACTTATTACAAAGAACAAAAAACCCAGGACTGCCTCAACACAAAGTTTATTTCTCTATTTTCCTTCCCCCTTTAATAGCGTATGTTACCTGTCAAGGTTTAAGTTTCCCGTATAAATAAATTCCAGGAGTTTTTGGAATCCATCAGCTTTCACTTGAGTCTGATCCAAAACAACGTTATTGTCAGATGCGTCTCTATAAAATGCACCAAAGTACTCGCTGAAAGAGGCAAGCACATTTCTGTGTGCTTTGAACTGGAATTCACCAATAACAACAGTGCAGTCACAAAGAAAGCCGGCTTCTCGCTGCTTGTTCAGTCTCTCTAAAAGGTGCTCACAGTGATGGGAATACTGCATTTTGATAGCGAGCTGCAGCTTCTTTCTTCTGATCTGGGAAAGCAAAAAAAAAAGATTTACATGCAAGATTTAACTTGGTTTTTGCCCCTAATAGAGTAAGTTCAAGATTACAAAAGACTCGGTGTTTGAATCCTGCAGGATGGTTTGTGTAGTAGCGCTTTTGTACGTGGTATAGCGGGATGGGTGGTTCCTTCTCAACTTGGGGAGCTGCTAATTTTAGAGGCAGAACGAGGGGGAGAGGGCACGGATGCGTATGCTCCTCCACCCAGATCCAAGGATTAGCTCGCCTAAGCTTATGAGCTGCCATGTCAAAACTGGGCTCCGAGAAGCGCTTTGCAGGAATGAGCCACCCCAGGCTG